AACAGATAATATTCAAATAAATGTAAGAAAAAATTCTGACTCTTAAAGTGTTTAAAGGCTACTGACACGCTGCATGATGTTTGAACAATTTTTCAGTAAAGTATATCTCATGCGTATCGTATGTGTGTGTGTATATATATATATATATATATATATATATATATATATATATATATATATATATATATATAGAGAAAGAGAGAGAGAGATTTATATTTTGGAGGATATAATTTACATTCATGAATAATGGATCTGTAGAATAATAGTGATTTATTGTAGGTTTTAAATGTGTGTTAACAGTTGGGAATGTTGGTATAAATACATTAATATAATAATGTAGGTTTATGAATTTTATAGAATTTTCGTTTGAAATATTTGGTTTATTTTAAGGATTTTGTGAGCCCTTCTTTGCGTTTAAATTGAAATGGTATGGGTAGTGTAGAATTTTGAATGTGTTTTCAATATAATCCTCTTCTGAAATTTTGTATTCAGGGATAAATCCCCGAAGAGCTCTAAGGAAACATCCTATAATTATTCCAAATTTTATTTTCCGGTTGTTGTGGGAATAGAAATTGATAACATAATTTTTGTTAGTGGGTTTATGGTAGAACTGAAATTCCAATTTATTATCATTACGTATTACTAGAATTTGAAAAAAAACATATAGAGTGTTATTTATTTCAAATTCGTCTATAAATTCGTGTTTGAATTAGATAGGGGATTCAGCTTCATTGAGTTTAGCTATTACGTTTAAAAATTTATTATCTTGGGAATAATATAAGCGGACGTCCTCGATATATCTTAGATAAGTACAGCTGTTACGTATATGTTTAAATATGGAGGATTCTAAGAATTCAAGAAAGAGACAAGCGGAAACACCACTGATCGGAGACCCCATGGGTAGACCGAATTTTTGTTTGTAGAATATATTATTGAAAGAAAAGAAACAGTGGTTAATAAATAAATTACATATCTTTATGATTTTGTGAACAGCTTGAGGAAACATATCCTTGGATTTATTTGGGGTAATTCTTAGTACGTATAGGCATTTGATGATGGGTATATTGTTGTATATATATATATATATATATATATATATATATATATATATATATATATATATATATATATATATATATAACATTTATTAGTCAGAGTTTCATAGACCTAGGTACAGGTGTATTAAAATGTGTTCAATGGAAATATAAAGAAATTAAATATAATAATTGTATTAGTGCAGAATAAATAAATTAAACATTCTATCATCTGGGTTGTGCGAACACAAAAATTAACTTTTAGTGTTTATACATCCTGGCATTATTTCATTTAGCAGAATGTTTTTGTCTGGAAATGTTCCTACAGTTAATATTTTCGTCCTGGCACTTTTGAAGACATGACTACGATTGCCTTAAGGTTTGGCTCTTCTAAATATTGTCCATTTACATTAGGAATTTTTTCTTGTAATTCTAACACATGTCTGGCTAGTTAGGTATAATAGCAATGATTTTCTTCTCTGAATAACTACTTATGATACTGTTCAATTATTTCAAAAAAATAAATGTAGAAATCAAGAAAAACAAGTATTATAATACAGCCTCTTCTCATTTAACGACCTGTCTGTTTAACGATCCCGGACATATCACCAATTATAAAATATTACTTTACGTAGAATTTTATTTCTGAAATTCTAAATGGAATGAGTCTATTAAGTACTACTTTCTAATTTCATTTTTAGAACTCGTATTTTTTTTATAATTATTCTAAAAATACCCTTGAGTATTTTAGATATCTAGTAACATTAATCCAATACATTTAATAATGAATTTTGTTAAATTTGTCCGCATCTTTCTGTTTGTGAAACTGTCAAGAATGATTGGAAAAAATTGTGAAAATCACGCTTCGTTTGCCAACTAGAATACGGCTATCCCATCAACAGAAAAAGCTAACTTTTTGCCTATTGATTATCTGTTTTGCTAATGATTCGAAATATATAAGAGACATACCTTTCAACATCTGTGTTTTTGTGTGTTCTGCATTTATATGCAACACTTTCCGGACTTAAGCGAAAATGTCTCTCTGACCTGCAAGTCTTTTGTTGCTCTAATTATCTCTCCCTCCTCTATTATACACTTTTGCTCTTATTCTATGAACTATCCACTCACACTCTAAGAAATTTACTCGACATTTCCCCCGATTTTATTGTTTTTCATAATCATTTGAAAGCTAAATTCTCCAAATGCGTTTTTCTTTCCTATTTATCTATGATCTTTCATTAGACTCATTGGCCGTAGTTTCCTTATTGTTCCAATTCCTAATCATTTCTAGTAAGTTACTCGCTATTTTCAGTATTCGACAATGGAAATGCATTACTCTCGCTTTAAATCTATTCTTCAGATGTGAGATGGTTATAGAAAATGCATTGCATATTTGATTTCATACTTTAGATAAAATTTCGGCATTCAGTTTTTCGTTTCTGAAGATATTTTCTTAACCATTTTAAATTGTTTAATTTCTATGTAGCAATTTTCACTAATCCTTTGCAGTTTATGATTTCTGTAACACTATTGTCCTTGTCTGTTACTACACTACTAAAATAGTTGCTTTTTTCTACATGTTGAATTTGATGCACTCATTCTTAAATTGCAACGTGCGTTGTTGCATTTTTATGAGAACCGTGCGTATAATGCTTTTAAGAGCTGATGGTTACCCCTGTCTTCTTGCTTCTCTAGACGAAATTTTCTAACAGTTTTCTTTCTCAGCCCGTCATTAGTACATTGTCAAATGGATCTCTTTCTTTATTCATTATCCTTTTTCTATCTTTTTTGACCCGCGCCATTTTTTCTAATATATTAGCAAGCAGTTTATGAAACAAAAATATCTGTGTGTGTGGTTACTCCAAGCTTCTATTTTTAATTATACTTGGAGCGAATAATTAATTCCTATTATGTAATTAATTAGAAAGCTATTCAATTTGCTTGTGAAATAAATCGACACATATTTAAAACTAATTATACGTAATAGCTACCTTGAAAAATCCATTGGACCTGATTTGGTTAAGTACACATTAGGCTAATCCTGTTCTAATTTTTTATATAAATTTATTTGGCCTTTTTTTCTGCTGAAAGCGTAATATGCCTCAAGGAAGATTGCGGAAATGAATTAACAGGTTTCGTGTCGGTATTCAAATTGACATTTGTCAGAAACGATTTAAGAAGGTCCACTACTTTGGCAATATGTCATATTCATGAATATTTCATAATAATTACTCTAAATTGTTTGCTTTATTATATGTTATACTCTATATTATTGCACGTGGACATTCATATAAACGTAAAAATAAATGCATTTCTTTAAAGTTACTTAAATTATAATTTTGATATCGTTGTACGATAAATAAAAATCTGCAGCTCAATGAATATTAGTACACTGACATCAAATTTTAAATATGGTTTAACTTTCAAATATTCATTATCATATGTTTAGCGATCATGACTCTCTACAGCTTCCCTCTCTTTATTATATGTGAATTGCAATGCTTACTTACAAACCGTACTGGGTATGACCATAAACTACAACCGCATCCTGGTTAAGACGATAAACTACGTCCAAAAGCAAGGCCTCTGATTAGGAAGTTTATGAGCGTGGAACCACCTCTTAATTGCTGCTGTTCCAAGGCCAACCTTAAGGTGGGGCTGTAGAGCTTGTTAGGGTCCCATCTATGGGAAAATAGTTAACCCCAAACATGTGTAAAAATAGGTTTTAATAACAGAAATACTTTGTAATAGTGATAAAAAAATATTACCAGCAATAATTTTTGAAGGAAAAATTATAATCAGCAATATATAAAAAAAAAAAATCAGAAATACTTTTAAAAAATACAAGCAATACAAACAGCTATATTGAAAAAAACATTACCAGCTATACATTTCTTCAAGGAAAAATATTCCCAGAAATCGATTTTTGAAGAAAAACCAGCGTACAAATATTGTCGGCATTATCTAAACCATTGAGGTTAATATGCTGTAAAACAAAACAAAACAAACTTACTTGCAAAATATAATAGAGTTGTGTCCTCTTGATTCTCTAAGTTTTTTAATTCAAAATAATCTTTGTCCTAGAATTGCTGCCAAGTAAAGATGAGATAGAATCTTAAACAACAATATTTAACACATAGCTGAGGTTAAGAGAAGATAGTTATAAGGAAAATAGTGTTAATTTTAATGAAAGAAACAAGGTGGGATTTGATTCCATTTGTCTCTTCCATAACCTTGATTATAACCCGACATATTTAGTATTATTACAATTTAACTACTTTCCGGATACAGACGAAAATTTCTCCACACTTTCTTTAAAGTATCTAAAACTGCCATGATTTCTTGGGAAATATAGCAGTTTGGTTTTCCCATTAACTTCGACATATTTTCCAAATAAGTATTTAATTCATCTTACACTGGCTGCCATCGGTGCCTGAGAAACACATTTATTCTGCTATTTTAGCATAGCTAGGCTGTGACGTATAGGATTCATCTCTTACCCGTAGACATTTCTGAGTGTGCGATACACGAGGACGTGTGAATTTCAACTATGTTTGCCGATGACCCTTTCGGTGTCGTTAACTGCACGCTATTGTTAATATTACAAGTCCAAAATTTACAACACTTCTATAAAGTCTAACAACCAGAAGGAAGTCATAATTCATGTATTGATAATGATATCTTCTAAAATATGATTTTGATAAAATACCGATCAAATATAATTCGAGAAAATGAGAGGATAGAGGGCGAATAGAAAACATTTATAATCTAATAATTTTCATTTTATTAAAGTTTGATCAGAGAATAGGTTATTGAAAACAATTCTGGTATTTCTATTTTTGTATGGTTAAATATTCATTGACTCAACAAATTTAAATTGCTAATCAGGTAACCTTTTGCAATATCGTTTAACTGATAAACAATAATAAAACTTAAATGAAATACAAATTCATAGGACTGATGACCAGGTTGAAGCACCGCTTCTAACGCGATCACTGAAATTAATCAAGATAGAGCCGGATCAGTACTTAGATGGGTGACCACTTGGGAATACCAAATGCGG